TGGGCAGCCACCTTTTGCTCCATTTTGCTACTGCCCCCATTCCCTCATTCATGTTCTGCCAGCCCTTTTCCTCTCACACCCTGTTTCTCCCACACCCCTTTTCTCACTTTCATTCTCTCTTCCTTCCCTGGTTGCCTCTGCCAAAGCTGTGAGCTGGTCCCTTGCACAGAGCCAAGGGCTAAATGCAACCCCTTTTATCCCTGCATGAGACAATATGTGCTGGGTTCCCTCTTCCAGGGCAGAAGGAGCTTCCTGGGTCACCTGCACATGGCCAGTGGCACAGGGACCCTCGGGCCATAAGACTGTTCCTTGCTGGATGATATCAGGAAGAGGCACCATGAGAGAAAGGAATGTGGGTGGCTTGTGACAGCTCCTGCTGCCCCGAAAGTGGAAGCTTTTCTGGAAAATTTGCCTTTCTGGACTGGGAGAGGCGCTCAGCGGGCATGCCTGGCACCCGGCCACATCCTTCCCATCAGAAATCAAAACACCCTCCTGGGGTCCTCATGGGGAATCTTCTTATTTTTGGTCCAGGACCCAAAACGGGCTCAACTGCCCGCCCCTTCTGTGCAGCACCTCCACAGGGAGATTTGCTGAAGCCTGACCTGAGTTTGTGGCAGGAGGATGGTGCCCCAACATGTGCCATTTTGAACCTGGACCAAAAGCACGCCACCTCACTGCATGAATCCATAATGAGGCTGGATTCAGGCTACACCCACCAGGTGCATTAGCCGGACTCCATGTTCCTACCCAGAGGCAGGGTTTATAGATGCACTACTTGGCAGCCCCCTGTTCAGGAGACAAAGTGTGAGGAAATTCGGAAGGGGGTGGATGTGTATCACTGACGAGATGCACTGGCAGCCTCCAGATGTTTACACTCAGGGAGACATGGGGGGGGGTAAACCTCTTCCCCATCCCCTCCAAGCAACAGGCTGAAGCCACAGAGGGGCAGACAGGCCTTCAGTGTTGGGAGAAAGGCTTCCATCAGCCCAGTTAGACCTTACGCTAGATCTCTCCTCCTCCATCATGGCCTCAGGGAGGAAACTTGAAGCACCCACTTCCTGTTTTAAACCTCCCAGTTTCTTGCCATGCCTGAACAGCGAACTCTGGTTGGTTGACGCAAGCACAGATCACATGCCCCAGTTTAATCCTGGCTCATTTCAGTGAAACATTGTTTTGGGTCAACACACTTTGTCCCTTTTCAAACATAACTCTGAGTTGTAGTTCATTTAAAATCAGGCTATTGGTACTTCCCCTGGTTTCTTTACAACCATGAGGCATTCACATAGTGGCAAACTATGGTTTGGTTCTAATATCTAAACATCTTTTCTATTTAACCTCCTCTTCAAGACAGAGCATGGCAGTTGGATTCGTTCCTTAGCTGAAATACTTTTGGGGCCACCCCACCCCCCGCCGATGTTTTCTAAAAGCTCGTTTCCACAGAATCTGCATTAGTGATGCCCCCGCCCCCCAGAGGTAGTTTCCTGCGCTCCCAGTCTGTCACTGGGTCATCTACGGGGACTTGGGTCACTGCGCTGCCTCCCATCCTCTCCACCGAGGCCACAGTTCTGCGTTGTGACAGCCCTGGACTCTCCTCCCAGCTTGGAATAGAAATCAGAGTTCCCTTCATACTTCGATTCACAGCACTGGTCCTTTTCCAAGAACTGTTTGCCATTTTCATATAATTCCTTCCTTCGTCCCCCATTTCCCCTTCCCTGCACCCCAAATGCTCAACCTAAATTTCCCATCTTGTTCTGTTTCAATGACAATTCTCGTGTTTGCCATTTCAACCCCAGCCGAACATTTCTCGTCTTCCAGATCAAACAGCCTTTTTCCTTTCCTCCCAGCCCTACCCATAAATGACCTCCCCCAACTCTCCTTCCACTCTTGTTTTTGAAAAACAGATTCTTTCTGCCCATTCCTCCAGCACCTGACTGGCCCGCATGCCTTCAGCCATTTCTGCCCCGTTTAGTTCTCCAAAGTCTCTCCGTATCATTTCCAGAAAGGCTAGCGCTGTTCTCTTGTGGATCCGTTTTTTCAAGAGCACCTTTTGCAAGTTAACGTGGATAGGTGACCACTGGAGAAGCACACGAAAGAAACATAGAAACATAGAAACAGAGCGAGTCAGAAGGGGTCTCCCGGGCCATCTAGTCTGACCTCTGGCACCAGCCGGCTCCACTCACGACATGCCCACCATGTGCATGTCCAGCGTATCTTCCAGAAAGAGATTTCTGAAAGATGCTAAGAGGACCCTGCATGCACAAACATGCGGGGGGGGGGGGGCGCTGTTTGTAAGTGCACACTCCATGCCCCTCATTTGCTCAACATTTCTTGGTCTCTCCAGGTGGACCATTTGGCTCCCCAGGTGGGAGGCCTGGCTAGCCTCGGTACATCAACACATCAGCTGGTAGTGACTGTGTAGCTTTCAGGCATGGGACCTTCTTGGCTCTTTTGGGAGATGCAGGAAATTGAGACGGTCAAAACAGGGGTTCCCTCAACTGCCTTCTATTAAGTTGTATCTCCTGAAGGCTTGGAGACATCACTGAACTCCCTTTAGCCGGTTTCCCTGGGAAGTACGTGTTTCTTCATTCAGCGGAACAGAGACTGTCTGGAGAAATTGGGAGCTAGGATAGAATCTCTTGGCTTGTGCCAAGCTCCTGCTGCCAACATTTGGGCTGCTAACATTCCCTAAAAAGCAGTGTCTAACAGCATTTTTCCGAAGCACCCTGAGAACACCCACTCAAAGGGTGGGAAACTGAAAGGCAGCTAAGCCGGTTGGTAGCCCTGAAGGACAAGTGTCCCTCATTATCAGCTCTCCTTTGCATGATCGCAGACTTGTTCCTGATTGCACATTTCCAACTCTTCTCCTTCCTTTCCTAGGGAAAGAGGGAGCTGAGGTTCCTCGGCACAGAGGCATCATTTCATTTCCATGCTCTTCTTTTCATTTAGGAAACAATCCAAAGGGAACAGCGCTCTTACTTGCCTTCAGTTCTCCCCTCACGTAAGGTCTGCAAACTTCACCCCATTTCCTTTGCTCAGGAAATGTACAAAGCATCCACCCTCATTGGTTTGGTTTGGTTTTCTCTCCGTGTTCGCTGTTTACATGGCCTTTGTTTCCTTCTCCTTTTGATTATTATTAATTCTATTTTTATTATCTTTATTATGATCGTTCTATTATTCTGCCAGGGCTGCAATGTGCCAATGTTAAACTGTGACATTGGTTCACATCAGCTAGAGAAAACAAAAGTATGCAGCATTTTAAAAGTGGGTTTCCCCTTACCCCTAACCCCTCTCTGTCTCTCTCTCCCCCTCTCTCCCCCCCCCCCTGCACCCCGCTTCCTTTTTCTTTATCTGTGTGGGCATTTGCTAGTTGCCCAAAATAACAAGCTCCAGTACTTTACATCTCCTTTCTTTCCCTCTGTCTGCCTTCCTCTCTCTCCTTTTCCTCCTCTCTTCTCCCTTTCTCTCTCGCCTCTCTTTTCTCTTGGTTTCCTCCTTTTTTGCATGTTTGTGATTCTGAGAGCTGCATCTATCGAAGGAATCATGTCAGATCTTTCAAAGAGGCTTTGTTAGGGTTTATATACCCAAAAACCACAAAAATTTGATTAGAGTTTCTCATCTTTTTTGCTGCTGCTTTTCCCACCCACTCCCCTCTTGTTGCACCTTCTTCTTGTTGCTTTGCAGTGGGGGGGGGGGGGGGGACAAGGGGAAGAACCAGGATGCTCTCTGCCCCGTCCAAGGAGGATTCCTGCCCAAGTTCAGGCTAAAATTTGGCCACCGCCAGGGAAAAAGCCACCTGCCTTCCTCTTCCCATCCCACTTGCACCCTGATCTGCCTATTAGGAAGAAAGCCTCCATCACTCCAGAGATGTCTAAGACCTTCTGCCTGAACGTGCCCCTAGAAAGAGCTACAGGTCTGAACCCGGACGTTCCTCCATTTCATCCCATTTCTGCACCAAATGGATGGGACAGGCAGCCGAGTGACCCTGGACCAAGCCCTGCCTCACCTGAGAATTAGCATGGCCGTGGGTGCAGGTCCCAGGTGCATACGTGCATCACCTGATTGAAATTCTGCTCTTGCTGTGATGTGTCACTCAGTTGCCCCCAACTTATGGTGACCCCATGGATAAATGCCCATGACAGCCAAGTTTAGCTCTTGAAAACTCAAGGCTGGGCCTGCCCTGATGGAGTCTGTCTATCCTATGGGTGATCTCCTTCTTTCTCCTCTCCCAGTAGGCTCTTTCTGGACAGGTAGAAAACTCATCCTCGTAATTATTCTTGATGCTTCCTTCTGAAACGAGATGACAGTGTAGCCCTGTTCTGTGGCTTAAACCTGGGCTTCCTTCCCTGCCTTGCCATATTTTTCTTAAATTTACCAATGTATTTATTTATTTTTGGTCTCTGGAGGTGGCCAGGTTGCCTACGACGGACCAATTTTAATCCCCCACCAAAACTCCTGCTTTCAGATTTGAGGCAGTGGATGAAGTGGGGTGGGGAACAGCTGCCCCTTCACCTCTGCCTGAAAATGGGTCAGGAGCTGGGGCTGGGAAGTGGGGGAAAGTCTTCCCCACATACATGCTAGGGGGTCCCGGTTCCAAGGGCCATGTCGCCTCTTTGTCATTTTTAAAGATGAGAAATTGCTAATAAATTTTTGTGTATTTATTTGTGCTGTGATGGGTCTAAAATTGATCAATGGAACCCTGTTGCTATGAAATATCGCTTTTATGTCTATATTCTATATATTGTTTGTGAAAGTAAATTATTTTGAAGTTCTGTTTTTTTCCTTTATTGATTGATTTTTGGTATTCCGATAATTTTTTAATTTCAGCCTTTTTTTAAAATGAAGGAACGACGAATTAAGCCCCATCTGTATTTAAATTTTCTTCTGCTCTTCTTTCCTTTTCCCTCCTTATCTTTCTTTTCTCTCTCTCTCTCTTCTTTTTGTTTTCTCTCTCTCTTTTCTTTTGCTTTTGTTTTTGTTACCTCTGTGCATTTTGTCCACAGTTCGCCGTGTGGCTCCCCGATTTTCCATCCCACCCTCCAGCCACGAGATCATGCCAGGCGGTAACGTGAACATAACTTGCGTGGCGGTCGGATCACCTATGCCATACGTCAAGTGGATGCAGGGGGCAGAGGACCTCACCCCAGAGGACGACATGCCAGTTGGCCGGAATGTTCTGGAGCTGACTGACGTGAAGGATTCGGCCAACTACACGTGTGTGGCCATGTCCAGCCTGGGCGTGATAGAAGCCGTGGCACAGATCACCGTGAAATGTGAGTGGGCCCCATTCTGTTGGGCTGAGCCACTCGGTGCTGTTGGCCCTCGACTTGGCCAGTTCCCTGCAGCTGCCTCTGGCCAGGCCACCTCCCTCAAGGCCGCCTCACAGTGCTTTTGGTGGCTGCCTCAGAGGTCTCCAGGCTTCATCAGCATCTCCAAATCTCCACCCTGCATGGATTCTCACCCAAGCCCTTCTAGGCTTGCCCTTTTGACCTGTTTTGTCAATACGTGTGATGCTCATTTCCTGTCTTGAGTTGGAATTAGGTTAAGGCTCGCCTGGTTGGAGTTTGACATTCCCACCTGACTGCCAGGGGCAGGGGTCCCCAACCTTTTCGGGTCAGCAGGCACACATGGAATTTGCAGAGCATGCCATGGGCACTCTCACAAAATGGCTGCTGTAGTGGGGCGCAGCTGTGCCTGTTCTGAAAACAGCTGCCAGGATGGGTGTGTCTAGTTATGGGACCATTATCTCCCAGAAAGTAGTGTGTCCAAGAATTGAGGTATCAGGCAGGACTGGGAACAGAATCCTGAAACACCAAGCGATTTCAAACCTAATAAAGTTGTCACTGGAGGACTGGACTTTGCTTCACAGCCTGGCAAACTCCCAGTGGAAAAATTAGTTGTCAAAATACCATTACACAATTAGATTAAAAGCAGGAGAGCTAAGGAGTGTGGTGGGCCCAAAGATGCATCCCTGGGCACGTCGTTGGAGACCCCTGCCTTCGGAACCCTGCTTCAAGGATGACTGCCAGCATGCCCCGATCCATTTGCTTGCATGCTCAGGGGAAATACCGAGAAGCATCCCTTTAGGACGGTTGAAATGTGCTTGTACATCACAGCGGTGCTGACAGGTCAGACTGAGCCTGCCTCAGGGCTCAAATTGCTCAAGCTGTCATTGTGGGACTGCATGATAAACGACGTGTTATGCGGCTTTAAAAAAATGTTCTGGCTAAGTACAATTCCAGTATGCCTTCCCAGTGCCTTTGCTCATAAGCATGCGCTGCCTGGGAAGTTCTGCATGTGCTTGTTTCCTGCCATCCTTTTTCCACTGCAGGGGCATCTTTATGATGTGGAGTTGGCGTTTCCTTTAAAAAAAAAACTGTCTGTGGCATTTTGCAGAATCACAACCAGAACAAAGGCAGGCTCCCTGCCCCGAGGAACATGCAATCTGCAATTCGACTGGGGCATAGAGAGAAGGGAGTAAGGTGGAAGCGAAGGGTGATGGTGGGAGAGATGTCTTTGGTCAGGTTGTGCTCCATCAGTTGTGTTTGCAGATGAAGACCTAAGCCAAAAGCAGACTGAGAAAAGTGAGATACTGAGGAAGGATCAGGAAGAAAGGAGAGGGCTGGTGCGGTGTGAGCAGTACGGTGCGCATCCCAGAGGAGTCGTTGGAGTGAGGGAAGATCCGCTGGGATTCAAGGGCTCCGGGGCTCCAGGAGGAATTCCGGTTATAAGGGCCGGGAGGAAGACTGAGCAGAGTTACTTAAAGGGCCTGAAGATCTTTCACGAGCTCTTGAGACAGAAACACAGGGCCAGGGTCTTGAGAATGTGTCATGGGAATTTCAGGTGGAGATGGTGCATCCTGGTGCTTTCCAGCAATGGGCATGCTTGGGGCGGGGTTGCAGGGACAGCCTCGGGATGGAATGGTCTCTCCGCACACTTTGCATGCATAAGTTCCCATTCCAAGTCTCTGGATCAGGGACCAGGAGTTGGAAAGAGACTCTTTCCTGCACAGAACCTGGAAGGCAGCTCTGAGCCAGGAAAACTGGGCAAGAGGGATGCACATTCTGGCCAGGCCCCACGCCAGTTCCTCTGTTCCAGCAGATAAGTGTCTCAAAGAACTAAGAACTGCCTTGTCAAGACAAGACTGTATTACATTTCAGTTTCCTTCCTACATGCCCAGACCCCACAGCCAGGAGTTCTCTTGAAAGTACATTACATATGCAAATACACATCTTAAAAATATATTATAAGGACATACAAAGATATAAACGTAACACATACACTGAAAAAGATTGCTAAATCATTGGCAGCCCCTTAATTATCCAGGCATAGAGACAGGGTGTGGGACAGTTTATCAGCTGAGCCCTGTTTATGCATGGGCAAAGAACCACGTTCAGGGCTGGGATCTGTTGTACACCCTGTGTACTTATTTTTGCCGTTGAATGCGTTAGACTGTTGGTCCATCTACCCCAGTATGCTGGCAGCCATCATTTAAAGCAGGGGTCTCAAACTCGTGGCCCGCAGGCCAATCGCCGGGATGGGCGGGGCACGGGGGAGGGGCCCTGCAGCCTTCAAAGCACCAGCGGCGCCCGGGCCGGCTGTGGGATGAGCGGCCCACCACCACCGCTTGATGTGGCCCAGCCTCACCCAGACTCTACTTCCAGCGGCCCCCAGGTAAGTTGAGTTTGAGACCCCTGATTTAAAGCATGATTCTTCCCTAGTCCTATCTAGACAGTCTCTCTCCATGCAGAGCACATGCTGTACCACTGGGCATTTTAATAATGAAATAAGATTGTAGCCCTCATGTTTCTGACTCAAGGGCTCATGTAAATGGGAGGGTAGGAGGCAGCTTCCTACTGCAATGGACCATCAGCTCAGTATTACCTGCTACCCCAAATGGGACTGTCCTAGGTTTCAGGCACAGCTTTTTGCTTCGTCTCTGTCTATGACATGTTTGCTATTCCACCTACCTAACTGGAGACATTCCGCAAAATAAATGCATTACCCCTTAGGGAGGGATGTTCCCACATGCTCTCCTCACTCTGTCCTGTTTTGGTCACTGCCGCCCCAAAGAATGGATGTGACAATCTCCCTTGCACAAATGTTCTCCTAGCTCATGAGCTTCCCTCCTTCCTCCACCTGTTCCAGGCACGCACGCCGTGTCTTTGTGAGCTTGGAGCTCGTTTTAGTGATCCCAGGTGCTGAGTCTGAACACATTCCGGTTTGGTGGAGCAGTCTGAGGAGGGTTATACCCTCTGCCCCAAAGGGCTGGGAGTATTTCCCCTGCTCCATGTCCCCGAACAGCTGTACCATCACCTCTGTTTGCGTGGAAGTCTTCCCCCGGTGTCCTGACGTGCCAGTTGGGCGCAAGGCTGAACATTCGATGAGACGGGCCAAGTGGACGTGTTTATGTTTAAGTTAATCCTTCCCATTTTTCTCAGCACTTCCCAAGCCCCCAGGGACCCCCGTTGTGACAGAGACCACGGCAACAAGCATCACCATCACTTGGGACTCAGGGAACCCCGACCCTGTCTCCTATTACGTGATCGAATACAAGTCGAAGAGCCAGGACGGGCCGTACCAGATCAAGGAGGACATCACCACCACGCGCTACAGCATCGGGGGGCTCAGCCCCAACTCTGAGTACGAGATCTGGGTGTCGGCTGTCAACACGATTGGGCAGGGCTCCCCAAGCGAGTCCGTGGTCACCCGGACTGGGGAGCAGGCGCCCGCCAGCGCACCCCGCAACGTCCAGGGCCGGATGCTGAGCGCCACCACCATGATCATCCAGTGGGAGGAGCCTGTGGAGCCCAACGGGCAGATCCGGGGCTACCGGGTCTATTACACCATGGAGCCGGACCAGCCCGTCAGCAACTGGCAGAAGCACAACGTGGACGACAGCCTCCTGACCACCGTGAGCAGCCTTCTGGAGCACGAGACCTACACCGTGAGAGTGCTGGCCTTCACGTCCGTGGGAGACGGGCCGCTCTCCGACCCCATCCAAGTAAAGACGCAGCAAGGAGGTGAGCCCTCGCATGCCCCCCGCTCTTAGTCTCGGTAGGGATTATATGTCTGTTGCAGGAGCAAATACCCAACCGCAGCCCTCTCCCCCAACTGCTAGGCAGGTGGATCCTTTTCAGCGTTGCCATATTCTTTTCCCAGCCCTGAGAATGGAATGGAGTGTCCTGCAAAAGGGCAGGCCTGCTGGTGCATCAAACAATGCAGCAGAATACTCCAAATGTGCATTAAACGTTGCTTAATTTTCCTGGTCATTCTGATTCCATTCTGTGCTGTTTGCTTGTTAGAGAAAGGGAGAGATTGAGTTTCCCACATGCGTGCCTGCAGATTTGCACTGCTTCTGTACCATTTCATGTCTAGACAAATTCTGGACCAGTAAGTGAGCAAAGAAAAGATAAAACAGATAAAATAGCAGCAGCAGCAACGACACATTAAAATAGGATTACATTAAAATGCAGTGCACTGATATTACATAGAAGGCAACAGTTCTAATAAAAATATAATGTTTTTATATTATCTGGTCCTCATAAGAGAAGTTATGCTGATTCATTCTAAAATGTAATGGAAATTTGTAAAAATCACACCCACTCAAGCAAGCAGCAATAATTCCAGGCTATGGAATGCACTCCCCAGAGAGGTCCGCCTGGCACTGTCTATATGTTTTTTGGTGTCAGGTTAAGGCCTTTTCATTTAACCAATATTTTAATGATAAAAATTTTAATTATTATTAGAAATAATTATTTTAATCTAACTTAAAATTAATTAATTTTATATATTTCAGTTGTGGTATATCTAATTTATTATTGTTTAGGATACAGATGCTATTATTTATTGTTGTATTTATAGATTGTTGTGAGCTGTCCAGAGACAGAAGTGATTGGATGGCCTAGAAAAATCCTAAATAAATAAATAAAATATTTTAGGCATTAAAATTGTCCTCATTCATCAAAGATGGGCATTCTTACCATGCATTTTACCCTGGCACCAGAGCTGCCATGCTTGGGACGCAGTCACTCCGTGTGCACCAGAATGGAGTGTCAGGTCATCTCCCACTTCGCCTTCACCCAGTGTTATCTTCCGGGTTTTTCTTCCCCGCCTGCCTTCCGCAGTCCCTGGGCAACCCATGAACTTCAGGGCCGAAGCCAAGAGCGAGAGCAGCATTCTCTTGACCTGGAGTCCGCCTCGGCAGGACATCATCCAGAAGTACGAGCTCCTTTACAAAGAGGTCTCCGGCAAGCAAGGGAACCCTGAGGTGAGGCTGCCTTTTCCTGAAGGATGCAACTCCCCAGAAATGAATCCCGCTCCCTTGCATTGCTAATGCCCATGCCCTGCCCTTCCACAGTTTTTGAAGACCTTCGATCCCGTGACTTCGTTCACCGTGAGAGACCTGAACCCCAACACAGAGTATGTCTTCCAGCTGGCCGCTCGCTCGGCTTTGGGTCTCGGGGCCCCAACTCCGGAGGTCAGGGAACGCACGCTGCAGTCTAGTAGGTGTCCCTTTGTCTTTGCTGGAATTCATGAGGGGCACGGAGACGGGGAGGAGGCGCAGAGGTTGGGCGCTGTGGCACGGAGTGGCGATGGGGCAGGGCAGCTGGAGGGGCGAGGGTGCTGGCGCGTCTTCGGTGTATCCTGCAGCATTCAAGCTAAGAGCCAGGCTTGCTCTGCAAGTTCCGTTCCGTCTGTGTGTACTCGTGGTGTGTCTGTACTTGTGGGGTTGTGAGACAGAAAGCCCAGGCGGGTCCTTGGCCGGTTTGCTCGGCCGTGATCTGGGTTCCTCAGTGCAAGGGCCCGATCAGCTCCGCCACTCGCTTTCAGCCCAGATGTGCTCCCAGATGTGGGGGCTGCAGCGCACGGTCCAGCGGTGTTGCTTAGCTGCCCTGCCTTTTCTTCCTTTTCTGTGGGAGAGGTGCAAGCAGAAAAGAGGGCCGTGCTGTGTGGGTGCCTTTTCCAGACCTATCCCTGCTCGGCATGTGTGTCAGCTGGAGAGCGGGGAAGGGATGCTGACCCGAACCCCTGGCCCATTTGCCGCACTGGCACGGAACGCCAGGCTTGGCTTATCTCTGATGTTTGTCCAAGATGCAAGACGGATCTTCAGCTTGCATTCAGACCAGGAGTACGTGTGAAGCTTGTGTGTGCAAGAGCAAGAATGAAGGGGGGGGCATCCACCACTGCTCCATTGGCTGCCCGCACTGGCAACGTAGCCAGCTGCGCTCCAGGTCTTGCTTTCAAAGGGCCAGAGCACGGACATCCCAGAGGAAACAGCCCGGTTCTTTTCCAAACCACGGTTTGGTTTTTGGTTATCCTGACAAACTGGGTGAGCTCCCTCTTAACAAAGCGGACCCTAAGTCCATCTGCCACTCCGTTTAAACCAGCTTAACTGTGCAGACCCCCTTGCCTTGATGGCCACCCCCATGGAGGGAGGGAGGGAGTTCTCGGCAGCCAGATATGGGTGTTGCATCAGCTGGCTTGTGGAAGGCGGGAAAGAACGCCTTTTTCCACTCCTCGTCCTGATCCAGGCTTTTTACAAAGGTTCAGGCTGAGTCACATGGGGGTCATGGCACAGGAGAATAACCGGAGAAAGTGGACTTTTATGATACTCCAGCGGAAGGTGATGAGTAGTTCCTAAAATCGCGATCCTGTTTCTAGGGGTCGCCTCTCCTGTCAGCCCCATCCCCGCCGCCTTCCTTGCCTGCGGCTCATTCTTCAAGGGCAGCCCACAGCAAGGCCGGCTTTGCCCATGCATGCGATGGAGATCGTGCGGGGCAGGGATGCCAGGATGTAAAATTCGTGCTGGTTTTAGTTTAATGGATTGTCTCCCTTCGCTGTTGGCCGGGGGGTGGTTCCAGTCCCTGGCCGGCAATATCTCAACCTGGGCTTTTCACGGATGCTTTTTTTTTTAATTTAAAAAAAAAAGAATGAGGTTGTTTTCTTGTTGTTTTTCCTCCTCCCCTCCTTTCTTTCTTCCTTTTTGGTTTCCTTCCTTTCTTTTGTTGTTGTCGTACCAACTGCATGATTGGCTGTGGCAGGCTGTTCTTTGTGTTTTCCTGTCTTCTCTCATCTTTACTGTAAAGAACTCGGCCACGGGTTCAAAGTAGCTACAGGCAGACTGAGTTGGGAGTAGGGGCGCATATGTGAAAACAGAGGAATGCTTCCCAACCCCCAGGAAATCAGGTGGCCGTCTGATGCCTAGGTGTGCTCCCCTCCCATCTTGTCTCTGCCTTCTTCAAGCCGGCAGCTTTCAGAATTCACAGCTAGTCCCGCACGTGGGAAAGACCCAGCTTGGAGAAGCTGCCATCTTTTGCTGTTGATTCTTTCCCATCAGCTCTGTTTTTGGCTCAAATTAGAGTTTGAATTCTTTTCCCCTCCTCTTCCTTTCCCATGCCCCACCTTTTTGCCTTTTATGCAGTGTTTTCTGCCGTCTGGCACATTCCAGGTGTTTTCTGACTAGAACTTTCATCCTCCTTGACCACTGAGCTTTCTGGTGAGGGCTGAAGGGAGTTGTAGTCGCAAACATCCGGAGCTGTCCCACTTTGGAGAAGGCGTATGTACACTCACTGAAGCAATTCCAGCGTAATTTTATAACACAGGATGATGCAAAAAGTCTCAAGATCTGCAGAAAAACGCACTGGGATCCAAAGCTGAGTTCTGTCTTGAGGGACGAAGTAGTCACTTTGTAGGATTAGTAAACCAATAAAGCTCCATTTGTATAGTGAATGTCAGCCTGAGATGCTCAAAATAATCCAGGAAAGGTAAAATAGCAGAGGAGTAAAATTGGAAGGTTGTATCCTATTTGCTACGCCTTACCTCAACCCATGTAGCCAAAATTATAGTTTCTAAATGGTGTGGACGGGTTGACAGATCCACTACGTTTTTGCTGTTTTACCAGAATTTCATCCTCCACGAAATGGAATCAGATGCAGAATATTTCGTGGTTTGGAGGGTAGCATCTGTGCTCTCAGAATTAAGGACCATGGTGTTTCAAGGATCTCCCCCATCCGATGATTTGTTTTCAGTGACAGAACTAAACTCACACGCCTTCCTCACACTTAAGATCCATGCCTGGTCTTGATGAAGCCTTCTTCATCAAAGCCAAGGACGAGAGCACGGCAGGGTGCGCTTGGGGACTGCTAATTTTTGCCAAATTAGTGCAAACCTCCCAAAACTCCACAAGGCCTGGACTTCAGTCCCCATTCAGCCCTGACGCTCTCTGGGCTGATAGGCCAGTCATGGACTCCCAGCTTAACCTACCTTACAGGGTTGTTGTTGTGAGGATGCAGTGAAGGAGAGGAGGATCCCATAAAGTGCGTTGGGTTCCTTGAAAGAGAACAAAAACCGGAGTATAAATGTAATGTATTAATATATATTGCATTAGCAGGGCACCCCTCCCTCGTGGGAACAATGGCCCTGTGAAGGGAGATAAAAGCCCTGTGCAGTTTGTAAAACATGTTGACTCCTCTCCCGTCTGTGGAGAGCGAGGCCATTGTTCTTTTGGGGACGTCATTGTCCTGTGAAGGCTGACAAAGAAAGCAAGGATTTGGCTTTGTTTTGCTGGGTGAATAGCTACCGCTGATACGATTGAAGGTGATGGAAAACTGCCAGGCCATGGGGCCCTGGAGCAGCAGCTCCCCGCCACAACTGCAGTGTGGTGTTGTGGCTATCAGTGTAGGGCTGGGACTCCGACAATCCAGCTCCCTGGGTGACACTGGCCCAGCCACAGACTCTCAGCCCAGCCTCTACCTCGCAGGGGTGTGGTTGGGAGGATACCAATTATTTGGGAGGAAGCAAATTATGTAGGCTGCCTTGAGTTCCTTGGAGGGGAAAATGGTGGGATATAAATATAATAAATAAAAGAAGGGCTCCTTCACTTTTTGCCCCTAGCAATGAAGAGCAGCTGTTTGCCTTGAGGGTAAATGCCGAATGAGGCTTCTGCCTGGAGTCAGAAGTGGTTCCCTTCTGGCTGGGTGCTGGATCGTAGCCTGGTGGCTTTTATTCCCCAGAATGTCAAGGGAATCCCTGGAAATGCAGCTCCCACCTGCCTTTTGGGAAGGAGTACGTGTGGGAGGCAGTGTTTGTATATTTCAGCATCCCACACAACATAGAAGCAACTTTGGGCATCTCTGGCACTGTTTGCCCCCATTTGTTGCAGGGCATTGCGATTTGCTCCCCTGTAGCTGGGCCAAAGCGCCCCAGGAGCTCATTCACTGGTTCAGATGACATGCAGCGTTTCAACAACTTGAGTGCGGTTTTTGTGTCCTCTGATCCCAGCTGTGCTGACTAGAGGACCCCAGAGAGGTCGGCCTGGTGCCGACACTCTGTTCTTTTCGGGGGCCAGGCCAAACCCTTTTTATTTTCCCAGTATTTTATGGTTAGACTGTGATTTTAATTGGGATTTTATTGTACAGAATTGATGCTGTGCTTTGCTTTGATTTATTGTAAGCTCATCCCGAGACTATTTGGGAGTGGACAGTATAGAAAAGTTTTAAATAAATAAATAACCACAGACTACCCATTCAAAGGATGCATAGCTTGTGGTTGGATGTGTTGTTCACTGTGGCTCGTTCTCACGGCCTGGCTCAAACAACACAAAAGCACCCAGTTCATGCTCTGCTCTTGAGCATGGGCAATCGTGCTGTCTGAGCCCCGCCACACACTGGGGCTGTGAGCCATCCCCCCATGCCCATGGGCAGAGCCTTGGCTTTTAGAACCCCATGAGGTGGAGAGTCAGGTAGAAAGTTGTCAAGACTATTAGTACAAATACTAGTAGTACTAGTTTTAGTACTAGTAGTATTAGTACCAGTACTATAGTAGTATTAGTACCAGTACTGCTGTCATTCTACACCGCCCAAAAGCCAAAGCTCTCTGGGCAGTTTGCGAGGTATTAGCAATGTTGATGGATCTGGCATTCATCCTGGCATTAAAAGTTGCACCAGGCGGGCACCGAGGACAACCAAAGAGATTCGTGCAGGCTTCCGCAGAATCCTGCACCACCTCGATCCTTTAATCAATCCATGTGTCGGTTGATGGATGCACACATATTGAATTCACATCTATTTTTGCATCCTCCCTGGTTATAATTGGCACTGAATGGCAGTTGGTCGTGCGAGACCCTGATGCATCAGGATATCTGACCCATGGGGTTTTCTTTCTCCCCCTCTTTCTTTCTTTTTGGTTTTTTGGAGGCCTCTGGCCCATTCTGGAGATGCTTGTGTTTGTTATCTTTGCACAGAGGAGACTATAACTTCCCAGTGTTCCATTTTCATATACGCTTATATGAAAAAGCAAAAAAAAAAAGGTCTTTTTTGGTGGGTGGCTCTGTGGATGTGTTTGCTTCTTAATACAATGGAAAATAGGTTAATCAAGATAACTGGGTGTCTGTCTGTTTTTCTCTTGTGGTACTGTGTTTTTGTCTAACCAGAAGGTCGCTGATGAAAGGAGGCGGGGGGGGGGGGGGACAATTGCTAACCCTTTAGTCCAGTTCTTGCTGCCT